AGCCGTCGGGGGGCCTGGGCGCGGCGCTCGACAGCAGCTTGCGGGCCGCCGTGGCGTTCAAGGCGGAGGGCCAGCGCTGCTACCGAGAAAAGAAGTTCCGGGAAGCCATCGGCAAGTATCATCGGGCACTGCTGCAGCTGAAGGCGGCTCAGGGGTCCCGCCCTGGAGGCCTGCCCGCCCCCTCCCCCGGGCCCGCCAGCAGCCCGGGGCCAGCCCGCCTCAGCGAGGAGCAGCGGCGCCTGGTGGAGAACACGGAGGTGGAATGTTATGACTCTCTCACGGGTATGGGGCCGTCGGGGGGGGGGGGGGGGGGGGGGGGGGGGGGGGGGCGGGGGGCGCAGAGGGTGCCTGCGGAGACGGGTGGGGAGTGACGGGCAACCATGAAGCCTTGGGCGGGGGGCTGGAGGCTTGAAGGGCGCAGACCTGGGGTTTGTGAAGGGAGACCCAAGAGCTTATCAAGGAGAGGGGTTGGGGTGTAGGGTAACACAGGGATGGAAGGGCTGGGATGCAAGAAATGGGCTTTGGGCTGTCACCTGCGAACCTCAGGTGAGAAAATCTTACCCTGGATTAGCGATTCAAGGCCCCATCCCTCACCTGAGATCGCCTTTAGTACTCTCCCCTGCAGAAACTTCCCAGCTAATCGCCCGCGAGCGCTTGTCTGTTTTCGCGCCCTCTAGCGGCGGCGCAGATTGATTCTATCCTGATTGGTCAGAAGATCGGCGGCCCAGGTGGCCTGAGCAATCTATTAGGCCCGGCTCAGCCACCTGAAAGGGCTGGGGGCTCCTGCAGCCTGAAGGCCTGGCTCCTAGCAGTCAGGTGAGGGCTGGGGGTGCCGCCAGGCTCTGCGACCACCGGTCCCGGTGTCTCCGCAGCCTGCCTGCTGCAGTCGGAGCTGGTGAACTATGAGCGGGTGCGTGAGTACTGTCTCAAGGTCCTGGAGAAGCAGCAGGGCAACTTCAAGGCCACCTACCGCGCCGGCATTGCCTTCTACCACCTGGGCGACTACGCACGCGCGCTGCGCTACCTGCAGGAGGCCCGCAGCCGGGATCCCACAGGTGAGGGCGGGATGAAGCAGGGAAAGGGGCTAGAGCAGAGGAAACAAACAAGGGAGGATCAGGGCAGAACTGCTTCGAGGGAGAGCTGTGCCGCCTCCCCCAGCATTTACCTCTCCATCCACCTATTCCTTACACACCCACTCAGGCACGCACCCGCCATTCACTCACCCCTCCCCTCCCCCATGTTCCTCTGACATGCACCCAACCACTTCCCATCTATTCAATCATTGACTCATCGATGCCTCCCACTCACCTACTCAGCCACTCCCTACCCACTCACCCCCCCCATCTCCACCCACCCCCCATTCTCATTCATCCACTCACTAACCCATTCACACACCAACCCACTGCCACACAGAGCGCTTGCAGGGAGGCAGACCCCAGGGCGGACACGGCTAAGAAATTTGCAGAGGTGGGGTCGGGGTCGGGAGGCTTGGCAGAGCTGGAGGCTTGTTGCTTGCCCTCTAGGACATCATAGGGTGTGTGTGGGGGGGGACAGATACAATATCAGTCTTGTATTGAGGGCCAATGACAAGGGAACAGGACAGGTACAGGACCCAGGGCTGTGGGAGCAGAGGCAAGATGAGTTTTCTTGGTGAGAGCTTTGGAGGGAAGAGACTTGTCGCAGTTGTTGGAGGGTGGGCAGAAGTATGCCAGCCGCGTCTGAGCAGAGGCGTTCCTGGCGGAGCGCACAGCAAAAGCAAGAGTATGGAGGGGTGACAGGCCCCCCGTTCCGCTTGTTGTGGCTGGGGCTTTGGGAGAAGGGCTCTGGCAAGAGCAGCTGTGCGGGGGAGCCACTGAAGGCTGGGGACAATGAGGTGTGAGCTGTTGTGGCGCAGATGTCACCCGCTGCCCCGGGACACCCAGATAATGCCGTGCCCACCTCCCCTGCAGACACCAATGTCCTACGCTACATCCAGCTGACTCAGCTGAAGATGAACCGTTGCAGCCTCCAGCGGGAAGACAGTGGGACCGGGGCCGGGACTCGGGATGTTGTTGGCTAAGGCCAGCAGAGGGGGGCTTGCCCTCCCCCCCACTCCCACCTCACCGTGTAACTCCCCCACGACTCGTGTGTTTGCTGGTAAAGCACTTGTCACTGGTGACCATAACCTCTTTGTGTGGTGTTCTTGTGGGGACCAGGGAGGGGACGTGTGGCCTGAGCTTCACCCTCTGGATCAGAGACCCAGAGGCTCAGGGGGGGAAGCGTGGGATGGGGTGTGGGGGTGCCCTCCCGGGGATGACCCAGGATCAGGGCCCCGGGCTGGGGAAAGACACAGCCAAGAGCGGTAGGGGGCAGGGGTTACCTTTAATGCTGCATTTTGTGCCGAATCCCTACGATGCCCTGTCCCTGAGTATCCCTGCCCACCCTCTCCCCCACCCACTGCAGGGTGGGCACTGGGCTCCACCCTCTGGGGTACAAAGGAATAAATTAAGTGACCCCCTCCCCCCTTCCCCAATAAATAGAGTGAGTATCCTGCCCAGGGCCTCCCCTCGCCTTGTGGCATGGCAGGCTGGGGCGGGGCCTGGTGCGCTACATTCATGGCTGCCCAGGCGGGCGGTGGAGGGTGGGCCTCAGCGGGAGCCATGGGCCCCGCACAGGGGCACTGTGCTGTCCTGGCTCTGCCCCTCCATGTCCATGTCAAGCAGCGTGGGCTGCATGCCGGGGGGTCCAGGGCTCTCTGGGGTGTCCGGCCTGCTGGGAGGCGAGATGCTGAGTGTCCGGCCAAAGGAGACCAGTTTCCAGGGGTCCAGGCGGGGGCGGCTGGCAGCCGGCCGGGGTCTTGGGGCGAAGGTCAGGGTGGTAGGGCGGCCAGGGAACTCGGGGGGCCGGCGGTGGGTCGGGAACAAGGTCTGGGGGTCGGGCAGGCGGGGGAAGTCCAGGGGTTCTCGAGGGCCTGGTAAGAGAGGATCAGATGAGGTCAATGGGGTGGGCCAGAGGGTGGCATTGAAAAGCCAGGACCTTTACGTGAGAACTGGAATTTCTGACTTACTTAGAAATATCTGCTGATCTTGTTGGGCCCGCTTTCCAGCCGGGGGTGGGACCCTGACCTAGGCCCCGAGCGCTCCAAAGCGCTCACTCATCTGGGATCAACTCTGAGCATCTTCCTTAAGCTGTCAGAGCCTGTTCCCTTGTCACCCCTCTAGATAAAGCCGTCATCCCCCCAACCCCCCTCTGAGGTGCTGGGTGCACGCACACAGGCCTGCGGAGAGACCCGAGGCATAGCACGGTCTCTGAGGGGCAGGAGAGCAGCACCCTCCCTAGGCGAGGGGTAAATAAAACGGTAATTTTAAGACAAGTAGCACAGTGCCTGGTAGTAGGTAGTTGACTCCCATGCTGCTCGCCTTTGTCGTTGTTAATGAAGGTATGGGGAACATCGTCCAGCACAGGGCTGTTCGCTACAGTTGTTACTGTTGCCAATAATGTCACCCGCCCGGCCCCTGGAGGCGCTGCGGTTTGCCACCTCTCCTGCATCCCAGGGGCTCAATCACCCGGGGACCCACCATGCCCCCAGCAGTGACGGCCGTGGGGACACAGACCCTTCCTCCCATGCAAAGCAGGAGGCCACCCTGGCATTGGGGCGGGGTTCGCCGCCGGGCTGGGACCTCGGACCTTGGTGGGGGCAGGGGAGGAGGGTCGCTTTCTGCGCCCCGGGTGCGGGGCGCCTCACTCACCAGGGCGGGGAGCCGCGGGCTCAGGCGCCCCCCGCTGCCCCAGCGCCCCGTCCGACGGCGTCCGCCGGTGCCCGCGGCTCACTGCGCGCGCGGCCGTGACGTGGGTGGGCGTGAGCGACTGGCGGGGGTCTTTCTTGAAGCTCTCCAGCTCCAGGTCCACCAGGGGGTTGGTGCCGGGCGGGGAGGGCGGCGGGGAGGGCGCGGCCGGCGCGGCCTCGTCGCTGTCCGAGCGCAGCAGCGAACGCGTGGAGTTGCAGTCGGACACGGACGACAGCGACACCACGGTGGCCGAGGGCGCCAGGCCCGGGCCGGGGGCCGCG